ATACTCGTAAGTATCAATAAATTTATGAAACATAGTTAATGTTACCAGGACGTGAATAAAATTAGTTCAGTGTTAGTTAGGGTACAGAGTTCTACATCTTGCTTGTATGTCTATTAAAATATATAATTTATATCTTTATTAACTAAGGTAAAAAGTAGACCTCTTTGTCGGATATTTCATATTGCATCTTTATGTCCTAATATTTTAATAATTTACTTGACATTCCGATTGTTGCGGGATTTGTTTGCAGCATAACAAGTAATAGGTATTATTTTGTATAACTATAAAGCTATGAAATTATCTGAATTTTCTGCTGATTTACCATTACAATAAGTATATGGAGGGCCTCAGTGGTCTAGCAGATTAGCACATCATAAGTTTTTAATTGTAAATAACAGTAATAACGTTCAATTTGTACATAACAGAATGTTCATATATTAAGGTTATTTTCTGAAGAAAGTAGTGACATAAAATTTCATCATATATAAACAATTTTAATATATCGATGTTTATATTAATGTATCATGTTAAGTTACTTTTTAACTTTTTAGATATTTTAAAACAATGTCATGTATAATAAATGTGCATACTTAATTATGCACACATCGGTAATAAATGCGACAAATTAACCGCCAATTGTATGCGACATTAGCATGGCAGTCGCGGCACCGCACCACCTGCCAGCGCGGCGGTGCTCGCCGGGCGCCCCTGTCCATCGCTATTTCCGCCATAGCGCACGTCCCCAAAGCGGCCGCCGCTCGTGCCGCGACCGTTACGCACGCGCCCCCAGTCTCGCGCACCACACCTGGCCGACGCAGCCGCCCCACTCCAACCCCCGAGATAACATTGATGCGCAGATGACACTATCAGACATTGTGTCAACACCATTCGTCGTACGAGATACGAGAAGTACATTAATACAGATATTTGTGTAAACTGTACCTATTTGTAATGGTAATGGCTTTTTGTTAAAATACATACATACATAAAATACATATAATGCAATAAAAAGCTTTATCCTATAATAACCGAGCAATCTGTGTAAATTAGTAATTAACTGACAGATAAAAAATAATCTATAAGTTTGTTACATATTATGTTACAGTCTTAAAATTTTCCTGTAACTTTGAGATTGTACAATAATATGTTAAAACTCGGAAAACGTGGTCTAAATGGTCGTGGTTTAAACCATTCCTAATGTTAATATTGGAATAAACCTATTATTACATCTAATAGAGGACCTGTTAATTCATTTTGTTGTCTGTCACCGTACAATTAATTTTATCGAAAAGATGAACGATTTTTTTCTTAATATATAATATTTAATAATGTACTATTAGGCTGAAAATCAGTTTTAAATTACAAGTAGGAGTCCTATACGGAGGAAAGGAACGGCGAGATATTTTTATTGGATCGTTCGAATGGTGACTATTTCAAAGTCAAATGAGTGAAAAAATAACAAATAACGTCTTTTATATATTTATATTGTCGTAAAATTTGCTTTAAATATTTTTAGTTAATATATTTTTAATTTAGTTAAAATATTTTTCCAAACTTATCTTTGATAAAAATAGTTTAAACATAAAAATTTAAACTCATTACATAAAAGAACGAGTCTTTTATAAGAAATGATAAATCTCTAGGATAACCTTAATGATATAGCAATGATTACAATACAAACATGTACTTTAGTAAGTAATTACGTCCTTACCCAATTACCAGTTCTTAAATACTCACCGTTTTATGTACACTCAAAAACGGTATATGTCTCCTTAGTATACAAATACATATGGATATGGTGCTATGTAATATATGTATGGTTTTTTTGTTTATAGAGCATTTAAATATCAAATAATTAATGTTACGTTAAAAGTCCAAACTTAAACTATGTTTGTTTTTTTATAGAAAATAATTACCTACATTTCCGCCCATTACAAATGATTAATGAATATGTACAAACCTTATTATTACACTTAGTTTCAACAAATGTTTTTATGACACGGCGAAAATAAGATAAGTATCTACTTACTACCTATTATCAGCATGTCATTCAATGCGATAAAGGCATTTATTTAATGTGTTGTTTACCAACAACCGTCTTCCACGATTTGTTTACGGTTCCCAAGTGCCCACAAAGATAACAACTTCATTCACAAACTCTCAGATAATTAGGTAATGACTGACATTTTGTTTATTAACTTCGGTGGTGCACCTATTGAATGTCTATGTTGAAAGATGAAAATAACAAGATAATCAGATAGTCGGTGCTGTAATTTGATTTTATTATTGACCATCGATCAAGTCGATTAGTCACACTTGTGCGTATTAAATATAATCGAGCAATTGATGTCCATTAAATGTCGATCTCTTGACACATTTGCAGGCTGAGTCACGAGTTGAATTTCACCATACAATGGTCATCGTTCTGTTTGTTGTAGTTGCCCCATATGAACATTGAGCTTGCTGATTAGGTATTGGTACGATTTACAAAATGCCTAACATTTGAAAATAATATCCTCCAAATCATTAGTTCGTGATAGTTCACTTATTTTGCAAGAAAAGGTTCATTTGTCTATAATAACTAAAGCCATAAACACGCGATTATTCTTTACCAAAATTTACAAGTTAGAATTGTAAATGTCTTTCTTACTTAAACTTATTTATACATAAAGATAAATACAATACAAATAATAATTTAGAGTAAACAATGGCAATAAAGTGCAAATATAATAATATCTAAATGACATTATGATATAAAGAGTAATATTAGAATAAACACGTTTCTGTATAAATTCACAAATTACCCAGGGAGCAGCCTGACCTGTGGGAATGACACTGGTCGCATAAAATACAACAAAGAACTTATGGACGTTATATTTCCGCGTTAGGAAGGGGTTGCGTATCTTGTTTGGTTTGACACACACAAGGAAATCTCATTGTTAGGTAACTTGTAGCAAACGAGTTCCCACAATTTCCGGTTAGACCAATATTATTATTATACGTTAGGTAGGTATCTATATTATCCCTCTGTAGAGTGTGGGACTCTTGAACTGATAACTTCGACGATCATACCTACAAAATGTTGTAAACACCAACTTATTCAAAATAATGTTAAAATTTTACCTGATATCAACATTTTTTATATGCAGAGAGGTCTCTATCATTATATTATATACTCGTAACTTCGTTACGGAACTAATAATAAAAATACAGCTATCTACTTTAAACAGTCTACAGATCTTGTGATTTTAAGGGTAGGTTATCAGGGTCACAACGACCTTATCTACATTACTTTCTCAGTGAAAATATTACATATTACGAAGAAACTTCTTTTTAATTTAGGAGACTGTACCACTATATTTATAGAACACATATTACACGACCAAATATGTATAGGTACCAAAAAAAAATACTAATTAACCGAAGATGTATAAATGAACAAAAAGAAATCGAGAAATTCGATACCATAAAATACACAAACATGTAGGAATACATGAGACAATTTAATGCATAGGTACTAGCACCTAATTCCTAGTCGTTTGTCTTATTCGAAAGCAGAGAAATAGGTAAAATAATAGGTAGAAGATACTAAGTTTTATAATAAAAAATAATCAGTTTAATTGTATCTACCTAATCATAATGCATATATAAGGAGGTTAAAGAAGATATACCTTTATAAACTACACGACGACCTCTCTGTCACGAGTGAACGACTGAAGAAGAAGACATAATTATAATAATATGTATAAATCAAGAAATTGATGAAAGATGGCAATGTGCGTATGAAGAAATACTTAATTATTCAACTACAACAAGCAGGTTGTTTAGTAACATGTAGGTACTAACTACTTCACTAGACTCAGCAACATATACTAATATTGCATTTATTTATAATTTGAACTATAAATCGCATGCACGCAAAATAATCAGCTTTGTTATAAATTTAATTCTTGATTATAAGTAACTATAATAATAATAATTAGGTACTATTTAAATATTTATTAATTAAGTCATTAAATTATAATTAAATAGTATCTAACTTTTAAACCTCCCTTTGCTGCTTTAAAGAAAAACAAAGACAGACTGGTACTTTCATACCTAATCTAATTATGATTCTTCAATACATATTATTATCTATATTTTTATATTATGATCGCATTAATGGAAAACATAATAAATGTTAAAGAAGGAGGACAAGGTCACTGGATGTAGGTAGTACCTATAGTATATTAGTATCATCATTCCTTGAACATTATCTTAAATACATGTGTCATCACAAGTATCATATAACATACCTTTCTTGATATGTGGGTCACAACACAGTCTTGGCGTATATACATACCTACAAAGTAGGCATATAATTACATACTTAATCCTTATATGCCCCTGTAATGAAATAGTTATACCTATTTACTGAATCATAGTAGATACCTACGTATCTAGTAAATTACGAAAAATTTACAGTAAAAAATTACGTAGGTAATCAAAATGTACCTAATAATTACTAGAACTATAGATACCATGATACTACTAAATAAAATGGCTACATTTATTGAGAATATAAATTGTAGTAATTTTCATATGGAAGGCGAGACAGCTTAATATAAATCTCTGCAGCTGCCGATTCCGACAAAGTTTTAAAATACAATAAATGCGACTGAACAATGATATGGGACCGTTTCAAAAAGGCGCAATGTCTCGGTTCAAAGGTGCTTAACCCCGAGACTTGCGCAAAAAATCGTTTTGCTGAGACGTTTCCAGCCGGTGCAGTACTGAAGCTGGGCATATCGCACTGTGAAGCTGCGGTGCTGCCGGGTGCGGAGGCGCAGGTGCCGCCGCCGCCCCGCGCCGCCGCAGCGCCGCCATTGGCCGGAGCCCCGCGCCCTCCGCCGATTGGGCACCGCGCACGTGCGAGGCCTACCCGCCGCCACCTGGCCCGCCGCTGACGGGGAGCCCATATAAGACCGCAGCCTTCCCTCACCGCACCACTCCGACTCCGGACGTAGACGAGTGTACGTTAATGCCTGTTGCGTCTACGATACGACACCGCTAACTCCGGCGCAGAATTGTGATGTTTGGACTGTTATACTAAACTGTGAACTTGTGACATTATACGAACGTTCTCAAACGAACTCTTTTGTTAAGTGTTTGTGAAGTCAGTGCAAGATGCTTGTGGAGGATTCGCAGGCCACTCGTGCATTGATGACGAAGAAGTATGCGCATTGTCCGCTGAAGAAGCGGCCGGTGCTGGTGCGGGAGGAGCGCCCGTCGACACCGCCCACAACGCCGCCTCACCCCGCCCACATGGCTACGAGACTTTACTATGATTATCATTGTAAGTACTCCAAAAATATATTTATCTCGATGTAGAATGTAATCTTACACCATGTACCAATTTAAAAGTTAAGTTTTCAAATCCAACACATTGTCTCTAAAGAGAAATTGATGAGAATATTAATACTATGAAATTAACATAATATATTATTTTACAGAAATAAAGTGTAAAATTAATAATTTTATTTACAATACAAAATGTTTTAATTTAAAATCCATTGCTCATAAGTGAATCATTGATTTATTTTACCAAAGATGATTTCTGTAACGTATATTAATATGAATTTCTCTTTGTCTATAGGTGATACCGAAAATGATGAACCTCAGAATCTTAGCACAAAACCGGAAGATCTCTCAAAGACTGGAAACTACCCAAGTAAAGCGTCATCACCTGTAGCTGCTACTGCGGTTAAAGTAGAACCTCGCGAATGGTCGCAACAGCCACTGGAATATTTAGAAGCTTGCCAGGCTCGTTTTGAGCCAACACCGACCACACTCGCCCGTCCTACGCCGCAGTACGCCTATTTACCAACACTGTACGCGCCCTATCCTCTGGAGGAGTTATACCCAGCCGCGCCAGCGCTGACGCCTCCTACGCATCCACAACTATATGCACGCTATTCACCCGCCTCGCCACCCTCTTCTTGTTCGCCACCACCATGCCCTGAAGATTTGCGATCACCGGGTTCGGTTTCATCCGATTCGGGTGTCTCAGTTTCCAATTCAAGACGTCCACGTTATCAGTGTCCTGATTGTGCAAAATCCTATTCCACTTATTCTGGACTTTCAAAACATCAACAGTATCATTGTGCTGCGGCTGAAGGTAGCCTCGCCAGAAAATCATTCAGCTGCAAATACTGTGCAAAAGTATATACATCATTAGGAGCCCTTAAAATGCATATTCGCACGCACACTTTACCGTGCAAATGTCATCTGTGCGGAAAAGCTTTCTCGAGACCCTGGCTTCTACAGGGACATATTAGGACGCACACTGGAGAAAAACCATTCTCTTGTCATCATTGTCGACGTGCTTTTGCGGATAGATCAAACTTACGAGCACATCTACAAACTCATTCAGACGTGAAAAAATACTCATGTTCGGGCTGTGGGAAAACATTCTCACGAATGTCGCTCCTGAGCAAACACTTGGAAAGTGGATGTGGGTCTCCTGGAAGTACTCCGTATGAATACCGCCCTGAAGCTTTACCGTCGGCGCACACGCATCAATCGTTGCCTTCAGCAGCCACGGTACATGTATATTGAGAAGACTGAGCCTCGTAAGATTCTCGATCTCGTATAGTTATAAATTTCATTAGCGATAACCGCTATGACAGTACTCTGATAATTATTTAAATTATTTTTGTGGAAAATTAATGTTAGTCTCATTCCGTGTGCACAATAAAATGAGAATTTATTAATTTTATAAGAGAACATTGTACATTGAAATCTAATTATAAGTTAGGTATCGTAAGTTATAGTTGTAGATATTTAGTCGCGCTATATGCGGCATCGCTAGTCATGTGGCATTTGCCTGGTGTCATACACATATTAAAACCTATATTTGTATCCTAAGCCATGTACAAAGTGCCTTAATTATAAATATTAATATATTTCTTGAAAAAAAAAACAATAGTATGTCGTAATATGCTATTTTTATTGTATAAAATATATGAAAATAGTGACTATTCATAAGGCTAATTTAGCCATATGCCCATCGCGTTCCTTTCTGTTACCTCCTATTTTACAGAAAATAAATCATTATATAAATTAAATTATCTCTTTATTACTTTTTATATACCTCATTCACCTCTTACAACATAAATGACCACAGAACAGTATGTCTAGCAATAATTACAATTGTCAGCCACAACTATGCATTTGGACCTACTACTAAAATTTCAAGATTAATCAAAAAACAAAACTTTCTAACTATTGATAAGTAATAAATAGCCGAGATCATTATTGAAATAATTATTCACAATAACTATGAATAAGAGAGAAAACGCTAAAAGTCCTAAAAAAAGTTATTGTATGTATGTATGTATTTATACAAATTAAATCAAAAAATATCATCTAAATTTAAAACAAAAAATTATATATGTAAAACCTAGAAAATGCAATATTTTATCAAATACGAAAAAACGTACTAATTACAGCAGAAAGTATCTGATTGTTTGTTACCTTTTCACCACTAAACGCCTGAACGAATATTAACTTGAGAAGGTATACAACAATACAGAAACGGACAAAGGCGAAATCTTCAACTAAAACAGCTAAAGCGCGGAAACGGTTAGTACCCATATTATACTACATATACTAATTAAACTCTACATAGCTTGAGCTTAAAGCTACGTGTTTATTGCTAATAAATCAATTAAGTACATTCTTGTTATCGAAGAAGTAATAAATGTTATCGAAAGAGGATCCTGTTATTGCTTTCAGATAAATGATAACGATCACTACGTACTTGATATATCTACATACATCTATAAAGAATTTTATGAAGTATGTATTTTTTTATGAATTATAATGTAATGGTGCACCCGTCTGCGCTAACGGTTATACGCTGATGGGGCTCCAGTAGGGGATAATAAGACGAACATGAGTTCAGGTCAGTTAGCCCATCGTTACAAATACACCATGGATTTATCAATATGGTTTCCCAGAGGAACCGTGTGCTAGCAATGGGTCCATCCGTCAACATTACTAACAATTTTTTCACCCCAGATATATGTATTATAATTAGGAAACAAAAACATCACTTAAATATTGACCAGACCAGGTATGTATGCATGTAGTAATTATCAAACGTAACTAATTTTATTATGTATTATCAATTATATCATCTTCAGTTTAGATAAACATAGTATTAAATAAAACCACGGTCCGCATGTCTATTTATCTATACCTACCTATTTCTTTAAAACTACGCAATCTGTTTCAAACAAGTTTCACTGTCATCTGAATATTATATTACTGATGCAGTATTATACTATTACTGATGTAGTAATATAATACTGGTACATTTAAATATTTTATAAATTATGTTATATGTATTGTTAAATACCGAAGATAGCTAGTCTACAATAACAGAGAAAAAATAACTACAAACTCATACTGATACAAATCTTATTGATTTGATAAAATGTGACGAAATACGACGACAAATAAATACATTGCCATCGTCTTTTATTTAACAGATCAAATATTACATTAAAAAATGGATAAAATAGTTTTATTCAATTTAAATATACCTATTTTAATTATAAAATGGTGTAAATATTCTAGTAATAAAAATACTAATTCAAATATACAGCAGCAGTATTTATTGGAATTTGAAGACCTATATAAAAATTGTTTATATTATGTGAGTGGAAAACCTTGATACAATTCTAATGGACAGTGTATACCGAATTTCACTGTTATTTTTATAATTATTAATTTAACCAACTCCGAGGCACGTAAGTACTCTATCCTTTATACAAATTATCGAAAATAAACAACTGCAAAAAGATACACCACATTGTTCACACTTAGCCTTTCTCGACGTTGTTTGTTGGCTCTAAATGCCTTTACATTCCGAAGCTACTTTCTGTCAGGAAGATCTTATAACATAAGATCTGAAAAGAAAATTGAATTATACAAATCGCTACGATCGTTAATTTCTGTCCGTCCCTTTTTTCAACATGTCGACACCGCACCGGTTCGTTTTACTACTCAGTACATTACATGCTATGTCATCAATATAACTATGGGTGAGCATTTATTTCCAAGAAATCAGATGATTCGAACTGGATAGTCAAAATAATATGCATCTTTTATGGAGTAACATGATCCGTGCTGGCGCTATCTAGAAGTCTAAGCCAGTTATCTATTACCTACAGTCATACGAGCACGTTCGATTGAGTGCATACAATGATTTACAATTAATTGTCGTACTTACCAGTATATGTGTTTATAAGAGGAGAGCCATCAATTATTTATATGGCCTGTGATTGGGAAGTGACCGTGCAATCTTTATTTGGTCGAATGTTGTTAACAATAGATATTAGGCTACCGAAACCGATAATATCCCTAAATAATTCATGCAGCGCCATCTAGTTTCAAACTAAGCAGAGCTTGTGTTCTGGGCACTAGACAATAGATACATAAATACATTTTTTGTAAATACATACACAATATACATAGAAAATACCCAGATCGATACGCACAATACTCATGATTACAAATGTTTTTACCGTGCGTGGAGTGGAACCTGCGACCATTGGAAGTGACGCGGTATACTTACTAAACAGCTATACTAAACCATACTACGGTATACTACACCACCGAGGCCGTAGGAAAAACTAAGAAGAAACTAAAAATTTTACTTTCTTTTTAAAAATGCTTATTAACAATTTTCAATTTTTAACAACAGTTCATAATTTCTAAATAGTTCTTCTATAACAGCTGAAATACTGTTGAATTTACTTGACTATTAATTTATTTACAGTAAAGTATTGATGGATAAAAAAGATTGTGCTGTGCTATTTCTTGTGCAACTCAATCTGTAATATCAAAGAATCCATATCACTGACTTATCAATAAATTAGGAGTTAGTAATTAGGACATAAACTCTGTTAAACACTAGAAAAATAAACTTAAATAGCTAAATTATTTTTGTCGGTAGACTTTAAGAGTAATTGAACTATTCCTTCTACACATTAATGTACGTGATTGCAATAACACTTTCTATGGGGAAAGTTATTGGAAAACTGAACGTTTCACGAATATCTATTGACGTGGAATTTCGGATATTTTGAACTTACTGTAAGTACCTTTCGCCATAATTACACGTTGCATTTGCCAAACAATAATTGATCTAACTGACAATAAAAAAGCGATTGTAAACTCACTTCCTTATTCTATATATATTTATCAGTAGAAACACCTAGCTCCAAAGGTTTCAAGGTTTTAATAGGTAGTACAACCGGTGGCGCCAGTTGGGTTCAAATTGTGACTAAGTATCTAATCATTTAGCTGTGGCGCGTTTATCGAGACAATGGCGCTCCACCGGTCGGATGTGGGTCGGGCAAGACGGTGAGCGCCACGCTGCCGCCAACGGTCACCCGGCCACGAGGTCACCATCCGGGCACGGGCCTCGCTCCTGCTTTCCTAGTATCACCACAATGAAATAATACTATAACACGCTATATCTGTAAACGACGTAATATCTGTTTGCTATAATAGCAACGAGATGTACCAAATGTTACGTCGCTGAATCCTGATATAAGTCAATGATGCGTTCATTTTGTGATTCAATGTGATTATTTACGGCCCTTAATAATGTTCAGAAACAATTTTGAAATGTTACGTGTATTAAAAAAATGCTTTTTGATGGAAAATTTACGTTACAGCTACTACAATCTATAATTTGATATCTGTGTACTTCGTTGACGAGAGCAAAGTACTACATTTAAACCAAATTTCATTCAACGATTGCTTGAACCGTCAAATTAGATCATGGTTTTAAATTATATAATACATCTCTAACAAATTGTTTCATAATTACAATTAGAGTTTTATATCTAGATATTTACTGCATTGTTATTACTTTAAAATGCAATCCAATAAGTTTTATCTTCAAAATCTAAACGTACCTATTGCCATTATCGTGTCACTTACTGTTTGGAAAGTTGTCCAATAAGATAACAATCTGAACAGTTAACCTCTGACCCTGTCAGGCAAGTGCACGTTTCTTAAACGCCGCTAACTATTGGCCTTTTTTTATAGAAATATCTGGAATACATACCTTTATTTAATTATATACATTATATAACCGAGAGAGATATTTACCATGTTATACCATAATATTATTTTTGAGCTTCTGATATTTGGACGTTGCCACAAACTCCCTGGTCACGGGAAACCAGTAGATGGCGGTAGTAAACAATGAATAAAGGCAGACAAATCTGTCTACGCGCTTTCTTAGTCTTTTCCTATCTGTACCGTTACTACTACTAATGGAAAGCATTTGATCTATTCTTTGAAATCACTAGAAAACTATTGTAAACAATCGTGAATAAGGTAAATATTTTTTATACAATTAAATCATTCATAATCAGTATCTGATTAATAATAGATGTGACTATCTAAAACAGTGCATTGACCTTAGAGCAAGAATAATGAACGGAACAATGTAAACGGACATTAACGAGTAGGTGTAATGTTCATTAGGGAGGTGTGTAGATAATTTTTAACTATACCTTACAACCGGGCAATTACTGTACATTATGTAATAAATTGGTTAATATCTTCGCTAAGGAAAATCTAATGTAACCTGTAATATTTCCTTATTCCAAACTGCTATGATAGTGTGTACTTTACTCTTCATAGTACGCTCACCTATTGTACAATAGGTAAGCGTACTATGAAGTGTAATATATATCGTATTTAGAACATGAATGTTTATAATAATAACCATTTTTAACAGTCAATATCTTATAATGTCTCGTGTGCATAATCTAAAGTGTAGCAAATTCGTAAAAAAATCAATGTAGGTTCAAGTTAAACCAGAAGTAAGAGAATATAATATATACTCGTACTTTAGCCTACACAAGTTCTAATTAAAGTAAAGATGTGTAGCTAACAAACGCGTGCGTGTGCGCCACTGGATACCCCCCCTGCCGTTTCCCTTCCACCGCACAAGAAGTGCGGCGCGTGCTCTACGTCCCCGCACCACCGCTAATCCAA